CCTCCTCCTCCCGCCGTCCGGTCTCTGTTGCCATCCCTTCCCTCACCCCCTCCTCCCGCTCCTCTTCCTCGTCCGAGCTTGAAAAATCTGTCCCAAGGAAACGTAGCTTCACCACAAACGCGGGACCCGCCTCGCGTGACACTCTCGCTCCAGGCCTCGACAAGGAAGGTCTCGCTCACGCTCTTCCCCATCCCATCATTACCACCACCGCCTCCTCTCCTTCCCCAGCATCTCTCCCTCTCCCCCATCACAACATCGACAACTTCTCTCATCCTCTCTCCCGCCCTCCCTCAAACCAAGGTCGTCCCTCCCGCTCACAACGTCAATCTCATATCGACATCTCTCCCTCCTACGACTACGACGATCCTGGTACCTATACCATGCTCGACACTCCAGACGAATCAGATGTCGATCACGACTCCCATTCTTTCTCGGACCAGCACCACACCTTTGGCGCCGACACTTACGACCCTTCTGGTTTGCCTTTTGGGGACCCCGCGTTTGTGCAGGGCGCTGGCGCGGGAGGCAGTGCTGGCGGTAATGGCACAGGTTTGAATGTACTAGGAAAACCCCTGGGTACTAACAACTTTGTCACCAAGCTTTATCAGTAAGTCTCCTCTTCCCTGCTCCTTCCGTGACGGTGAGATCGCGTCGAACGGAAGAGGAAGCACAACAAAGCCGTTGAATACTGACATCACTCATCTAGAATGATAAATGATCCCAAATCACAGCATTTCATTGCGTGGACCGAGCTTGGAACAAGGTGCGCTTTTTGCGTTCTCACTGCCTACTTGTACACTCTGCTCACCTTTTCTCTTTGTGTTTATTTTCCTTGCTTTTTGCTATCCGTTGGCTATATGCGCGCTTTCTCGTCCCGACCGGTTATTATAATGACGCCGATTTGTGCTCCCCTTCATCACTGCGCGTCTATCCCCCATCACGATACATAACCTCACTCATCTTGTCCTACACGTTCCTTTCCCGTCGACTTTCCTTGTACCACCTTTGTCTCGTTTTGGTACCCGTCCCAACTCCAATTTCAACAACTGGTCTTAAAATTCAAATTCAAATTCTGATATCCTCGAACAAAATCAAATCGCCCCTAACTACACAACATAAATAAAACAATAGCTTCGTCGTATCTAACGTTGGCGAATTCAGCAGGAGCATCCTCGGGTCTCATTTCAAACATAACAACGTAAGTCGCTTCGATCGTCGATCATCAACGTCTTCCATGGTTCGTATTGCTCACGTGTGTGTCCTGTTTTTCTTCTTTTCTCCGTTATCGGCTCTATCAACATTTTATACATTGATTATTCCGTTTTTCCGGCGTGGTGTGTTTTACTCCTTGTGGATTGTCGTCTTGCATTCCATTTTGGTTTCGCGCGTAAAACTCAAAATGCAATCGCACAACTTTACTATTCAAAACTTTATATGAACATGCAACACTTCGAATATCATACACTGGATATAACAATGCGCCCATAACTATGCGTTATCCTACACAGTTCTCCAGTTTCGTCCGGCAGCTGAACATGTATGGGTTCCACAAGATCAACAGGGTGAGTTTGGTTCTGTTCAATACCGCTTTTGTCGGCTCGAGCTTGGTGCTCACCATCTCCCTCCTTCTCCACCATAACACTTCATATGAACACACGTTTCCAACAAATGGTATTCGCATGACGCAAATCAAATAGACCCCTCGAGCACATCGTACTTCGACTGACGCGCAGACTTGGGAATTCTCCCACCTCAAGTTTTTGCGTGGCCGTCCTGATTTACTCGATGAGATCAAAAGGAAAGCGCTTGAGCCCGATCCAGGGGCTAGACATCGGTGAGTTTTTGTTTTACTACGACTAGTACACGACGGATATCATGAGGTGTTCTCGTGAGATATGATTAGGCACATTACTAATTTATCGTTTGTTTGCGTCCCCGTGTATGAACAGAGTCGAGCTCCCAGGAGAAGTCGCCCAGCAGCTCCGTGCCGTAGGCGAGGTGAGGAGAGAGCTCGAGGGCGTGAGAGATGAAGTGGGGAGGCTGTGGGATGCTGTTGGTGGTCGTTCGACTTTTGTTGCGGATTCGGGGAAGGACATGAACGAAGATGGAGCTAGTACGAGTGGAGGAGGGGACGGGGCGGGGAAGAAAGGGTGGGACGACCTGGAGTGGGAGAGGGAGGATGTGGGAGGGACATATCTGTGTCCGGATCGGGGGGGGCTGGCGAGAAAGGACCAGGTGGAGAGCGAGATGAGTGGAGAAGGAGAGCGAGGGACGGAGAGCGGATGTCTCAGCCCTCACCTCAATCACAATCGCAGTTATCCCCACAATCCTTGCAGGCTCAGCTCCAACTCCCGTCCTCGCAATCGCCGTCGCAATCACAGTCAAACGTGGATCTGGCTCGCGAGCTGGCGAAAGAGAAGGCGCGGGCAGCGGTGGAGAGGACGAGAGATAGATCTGAAGCTGCGAAGGAGAGGATGCGGACGGACAAGTTGGTGGGTGCCGTCAAGGCACTGTGCGAAGCACTTGGGAAGACTGTCCCTGGGTGTGGTGAGTCTTCTTTCCTTCTAAAGTTTTGAGTGCTTTTTTTCTCTCGCTTGCCATTGTTTTGAGTTGTCAGAGCTGTTCACTTTTTAATGATGCTGATGATGTACGATGGTGTCTGCTGCATAGCTGATTTTTTCTTTCTTTGCACGCAGTGCCCCAAACAATCCTACAGGACCTGCTCGAGCTCGAGCGTCCTGTGCCGGAATCGGACTCTCCGAATATATACATCACGTCCCCAACGTCACCTACACACTCGCCTTCGCCATCTCCTCGTCCCTATCCACATGCCCACTCACCCCTTGCTCAATCGCATCAACAATCATTTCCGCATCCACACTCCCAGCCCCAGTCCCAACCGCATCCCCACCATCCTCCAGTGCTAACAATCCCGACTCTTCACTCACACATAGCTCACCAGCATTCTCCTTCTCACTCACCTTCTCACTCCCTGTCGCATTCTCCTTCCTCGTTGTCATCGCATTCACACAGCCTTTCACACAGCTCGTCGCTCTCGTTGTCGTCCTCGCACTCGCACACGTCGTCATTTGCGATCACACCAAGTTCGAGTCCGACGGGGGCGGATTTTCCGGGGCATTTGTTTGGGCCAGGGCCTAGTGGTGGTGGGGTCTCTGGGCAAGGCCAGGGAGGGGGACATGGAAGGAGTATATCCCATGCAAGCACGCTTCAACCGCCGTCACTTGCGTTGCAGCCACACCACGTCTTGACGCGCCAGATCAACAATGCGAGCTTTGCATTTCACCAGCCTACGACTTCTGTCTCCGCAGATAGTGACATTTTTGAGGGAATAAGTATCGGAGGAGGGGGTGAAGGCGAGGGCGATGAAAGGAGAGAAAAGAGGCAGAGGGTTGGAGGAGAAGGTGACATAGGAATGGGTGGCGATGATATGGATGTTGAGCGGGAGGATTCATCGATGGTGTTGGTCGGTGGCGGTGGCGGTCCTGGAAACGTTGGTGGTGTAGGGAATGGAGGGAAGAAGCTGTCCCGCGCTAGGAGCGATTCTGCGCCTATGGGGTGGGGAGATGGGAGTGGTGGTATGGGAGGAGGTGTGGGAGGAGGCTTGAGTGCCAATTGGATGAGCGGACGACCTAGGAGCGGAAGTGGGTATGTTGGGGGGAGTAGCAGGCTTGGGCTTGGAGAGGGGCGGTAAACTCGTGAGTATCCTCTTTCGTTTTCGTTGGTGGTTCGGTACTAATTTAAAGCTCGTTTAGCTCTTCGTTGTTGTATAGCTGTGTGTTCTTCTATATATCTCCGATCATTGTTCCTATTGCTGTTGTGGTTGTCGCTGTGTACAAGCCGCTCGTTATCGGCAGGCCACCAGCACGTTATTCGGCAGGCCCGTTCTATCGTTTCCATCCATCCGATCACTCTTTTGACTCGTTTTCGTGCTTGTAGAATACTTTATCTTCCTTTTTCTCTCTCTATTCATATCCACGCCAATCGAACGTGCTTGAATCAATCATTCCTTATTATCTCATGCTCCTCCCGTTATCGATATCTCTGTTTCGAGTCGTCCTATTTTCTTTGATGTTTGACTATATATCTATCTTTCGTCCAAGCTATCGAAGTTTGACGCTGTCTGGTATTACCATACCTATTTCTGACCGGCCAACTATTGCATCCCCATACATGACGCGAAGTGCATATACATTGTGCATACGACATCAAGGTGCTTCGTTGTTACCCCTTTCTTTTTTCCTTTTTTTATATATATTTCAAGTTGTATATATCGACTTGAAGCTATTTCTTGGTATATCTAAGTGATGAATTTTATTCATGCATAAACCTCATGTCTGGGTGATTGCTGAGTACACGTGCAATGATTCGAGCTGATGCTATGAGACAAGGCCGACGGCTTGGATTTTATACAGGCGGAGAAATTCATCCCAGAGGTATGTGTTTGAGGCGGTGTACGATAGAGCCCTCATGGTAAAACCTAATGACGTCTCGAAGGCGAGTCAATGGTCAGATCATTAACCCCGACCATTCATCTCGTGGGGTGAATATTCTCGAAGACCGTCGTGTGGTGGCTAGGAGTATACGCGGCGTTGTTGAAAAAGTGTACAGAGAAAGTGGATCCTAGACTTACCTCAGTTGGCCCGTGACGATGTCGAGACGTCCCATTAGGCGTGCCGTTGCCGTTCGTGGTACCGTTAAGAGCATGGTTTTGTTGCTGGGAGTCTACCGGTGGCTGGTGCTGTTGTGGTTGTGACGACGGTGGTGGCGGTGGCAGCCGGTGATGATGGTGCTGACGCTGATGGGAATGCTGATTGTGGTGATTAGGATGCTGGTGGTGGGATGGATGGTGGCGGGATGGATGGTGGGGTGGGGTGTGTGGATGATAAGGGTGGGCGGGAACGGGTGCTGGAACGACATGATCTACCGGATGGTGGCGGAGTGTAACGCGTTTGGACTGACGCTTCTCGGAGGATGCTTCGGGACAAACGTGATGGACTGAGCTAGTGTTGTGCATAGTGACAGACCAGTGACCTATCGGCGGAACAAGAGTGCGCGATGAGGCTTAGGTGGTGGGCGTCGGGGATTGTGAACGAGGGAAGGACAGGTGAGGCCAGATATGGGGACA